GAGGTAGTTCGCTAACCGAGCGTTAGATGTGTGGGACTTATGCAAAAATGTTTTTGCGGTTGACTTTGGCAATTAGATATTTCGACTTTTTTATCAACATTTTGCATCTGATTTTCAAGAATAATGGAAATCATAAAGTAGGAAGCGATTTTTAAGTCGTCAGACAAGCTTCAAACCAACATTCCATGCACTGTTAAGTTATAAAATGATTCTTTCATTTGCCAAATAGCGCACCTGTTCTGGGCTCAACGAGGATCGGTACTTCCGACATTGGGGAAGCGATGTAAAATGGACAGTCTTGACATCAGAATTGTAGCCTTATAATTAGATCTTTATTGTTTCTTGGTCGAAACCATGAGGATAAAAATTTGCTTCTTAAACCCTGAACCAATGAAACAGTCTGGGTCAACAAGTCTTCTGTTAAAATTATGACTTATTTTAATGTCCAAGGGAACTGTGGACAGTTCAGAAAACAACGCTGAATGCAAAGCAGTAAAACATGAGAAGGCAGTGCTTTTTCGGTTTGCCGCATTTAGTAATTAGAAGTCATTAATAGACGCAGACTTCGGATGCAACCAGATGCTTTAAAGAGACGACGCAAATTAGAGGACAGAGGCGAGGCTTAACGCTACTTTTTCTCAAGAAACGAGGATGTTGTCGACATCTAGTATAGCTGTTAATTTGTTTTCAAGAAGGGAATAGCGGGAAAATGACGAAATGTTTTCATGCGATTAGCTGTGGTTGGTTTATTTAAATCTAAAGTTTTTACTTTTTGAAGTTTTTACTAGTTCGTTATCTAAGTCGGTATGCATAAAACTTGGCAAGGAAATAGGCACTTCCTTTTTCTCTTACTATTTGAACTACAGTACAGGCTTGATTACGGTCAAGCACTAGGGTCAATTCAACTGATTGAAATCCTGGGCATACGCAAAGTGCAAAATATCAGACCCTAGTCAATCTATGTCTACACTTTGTAGCAGCCTAGTCATGTAATCAGCTGTTCCAGTTCTTATGCACTTAAGTGACGTGCACCCTATGTCCCTATTCTCGGATTAATGACATTCCTGCACGATGCTGGCTTCTCTATCAGTAAAAAGGCGTTCGTAACCCTACCGTCTTTATTGTATTGATCTAGAAACTCCACAAATTTAACCAGAACCATCGAGCCAAGTAGTAATAAAACACACATGCAAAATCAAACCAGTGTAGCACAAATGTTTCTGTATTGCTTAGCTTAATGAAAGTTGTGATATAATCCAAAAATATCACTTGTTACTACTTGCTGTCTGTCAAACTAAAGACACACATTGGCCTCAATGCTTCAAGTGAAGGCAATGGCAAAGCCCAAAGATTGTCAAAACTGTCGAGTTTTGAGGAGTTCGACGGTACTATCACCAAAACGCACTGAATCTATGATGTGCGTAATAAAATACAATGTGAGTTCGCTACCACAAACTGGTCAAGCAAAATTTTGTGGTGACCTTACGACAACTTGCTGTTCGAATCCATTAAGCTGCCGCAATGTATTGGCCCGTTTACTCAATGATAATGCCCAAGAAGACGAGAAACCGGAGGTGGCAGACAACCGTTTACTCGATGTCTCAACCGACTTGTAAAAGTACAAATGGCTGAATGCTAGGGTAAGGGGAAACGAGTAGCGAGGGTGTACATGCAGAGGGGTGTATGGGGTGACGGTCCCGCGTGGCTGAAGGGCACGCTCTGAAAAGGGAGTGATGTGACAGAGTGGATGGACGATTCACTACTCACTAAACTGTCCTGGGAGTTAATCAGAAGTCTTATTTGCATCCCCACTTACTATCCAACCAGTATCAGGTTATCTTTGCATTGTTGAGGGCCCCGGCATGTTGTCTTGAACCACGCCGGGGCCACTGCGACAATCTACGCTGGATAAGTTACCCTGTGTTCCCGCGAAAATAAAGAAGACCGGGTGGAGAAGGCACAACCGTTTACTCGACAGATTAACCAAGTTGTGTCGTGTAAAGTTACGGTTGAGTGAACATGTACAAAAATAAACACAGGCGCCTATGAGGTCACATGACTAAAGCGGGTGGTGGTGGGACATGCAGGGTAGTTAATGGACCAGTGGCCTCACGTGACTGACGGGCAGGTCGTGAAAAGGGGGGACGTGTGCCGGAAGCTTCGATGACTGAGTTATTGGACCTGAATCAACACGAATCCCTACAGGAGCTCTGTCCCACACGGGTCAAGTAACAAAGTGTGGGCTAACTTTATTCCGCCCTTCTGTTTTGTCTGCTTTCAATTTTAGGCGCCAGCATTGATCAGCGCCCCGTTGTATTGATTTGCGGTAAACCCATCTAATTTTCCAATAAAGAACGAGAAAAGAAGAACCTACCATTAAGGAGTGACGTTCAGAAACAGCTGTGCCGTTACCTTATCAACGAGCATTTACTGTCAACGGAGTTGTCTAATCTTTTTTCTTACATAAACCTACAGTTAAATGCCCCAGGATTGACTTTATGTTTGCAAAACCAACTGTTGACTACTGCAAATGCCACACTAATATCTCCTTCCTCCGGTAATACATACACTTATTGTATTCACCATGCTGGTCGTGAAGTCCCAACCATGATTAACTGCCTGAACAAGTTCCTGTCAATTTTTCATCCCATCTCTTAGTGCTCGCCAAACTGACTCATTTCAAACCTAGATGCAAAACAGTTCTAACGATCTTCTCCATCCTTACCTTGTGCCAATATTAGGTGCATTTGTTGCTTAGGTCACACTGGGGTTGTTTACTAATCAACCCCCTTTAAAAAGCATTGCATTTAATTTGGTGGGCTGTTTACAGAGGGCTTTTGCGGTACCAGTTATAAAACTTTTCTATTGTGATAATTTCTAGTTATAATGAATCTACCAGGGAGAGTTGCAACCTCATCTGTGTCCATATCCAAAAACACAAATTCGAAAATTATTCTTAAAACCACGAATGTGATAAAAACGGCATCTTTTTTCTACAATTTAATCAGCAGCGCAATTGTTCACCAGCAGTGAAACTGGACGAATTATAGATCCGGGCATAAAGAATAACTGAATGTATTCCGCGCAATTATAAAATACATTTCGAGCCATTCAAAGGAATGCCGCCAGATCAGGTCATGCGGAATTTAGGTGAGCAGTCAAAATATTGGCGGTGATCACGTAAGAGCACACATAAGAGAAGTTGCTGCAGTCGCTCAGGCCCGATTTGCTGCTGGTAGTGCCAATCCGATCTCTCTTTCAGACTTTCAAACCTAACTGCCTAATTTGACAAGAGCCATCAAATTCGAATGTGGTTTTGAAATCTCGGGACTTCCGAATAACGTCAGCTTAGACAGGGGAGGTTAGGACTGCGGGTAGTCCTTGAACCTGCTATTCAGTGCTCTACCAGGCTTCAAGAAGTGCAGGATAGAATCCACTCAGGTAACCCCAGCCACGCTCCCTTTGTTAGGCCACAATCCTATAATTCGTAGGAGTAATCATAAGTGCGCGTGGCCGGAAACGGTGCCTTTGATGGTAACTCGGGGAATTCGCCTTTGGTTACTGCGACAAACACGTGTGTGTTTCTGGATTTCGTTTATTCACCTATGATTCCGTCTTGGTTCGCGAAACTGCCAAACACCCTCTCTCCACAAACTCCAACGCACTCTTGCACTGCGATGCATATTTCTTAATTGATAAACATGTGCCATTCTTGATGTTTGCTAATCATGCACAGGATAGGCTCAGTTGAGGAGTTTTCGTTGTACTCAGTCCCGCCAACTGGACAAGCTTCGCGTCACGTAAATAAACATTACATGTAAACTGGGCAAGCTCTCTGTTTGACCATGGCCAATATGTGAAACTTAAGATGGCTTCCACTACGACTTTTTTAGTTATTTCTAACAAATTACTATTGATTAAAGTTAAATTAGTGGTCATAATCTTGTTTCCCTGATCATATCCACCCGATACTATTTTCCCAGTTTCTACTCTAAATTATAAATTGTCTGCTTGGGATATCTTTTTCCTTGTATTGCGCAGATAACCGCGTATTAAGACCTAAACTTTGACACTTCAGCTTTCACATCAGTTTATTCGAGGACCCTCTAGGCAGGAAAGTGATCACAGCAATAGACGTGTTCAAGATAATTAACTATATTTCGCTTGTCAAATATTATATCAATGTATTCCTAACTTTTAAGGGTTATCTATGCAAATCAGACTGGTTTTATTTGTGAATACTCAGCAGACTGAATTATTCCAAAATGCATATATCTTGAAAGCTCGAACACACGTTTACGTTCATACATTTTCACAGTATTACCAATTTTCGACTTTCGCTTCTTCGTTCCATTCGTTTGTTTTTGTTGTTATACATGAAAAAACTCCACATTTTACTCACTTAAATAAGCACCATTAAAGCCTGCTACCCCGGATTTCTTGAAATCACGAGTTAGCTGAAATGATTCAATGATCATTCAATATTAACTGGCTTACAGAAATTTAATGCAAATTGAACAGCACGTTAGTAACTTAACGCTTAAACGGCCCCGTAATAAAAGAATGCCGTTTCGCACATTGACAACTACTGAAATACCATGGTTCGAGCAAATGAAGGAACCAATAGTTTTTCCAGGTATTTTCATAGTGAATATGGGATCAAGGACGCATGTTTGTGCTCTGCGAGTGTACAAAAGCTAGAACTTCCTAGGTTTCTTCTTGTTCAAGCTTTAAAAAGAAGATACTCGCCACAAGCACCGCCAGCTATCAGTACAACTTAAAACACCACACAGTCACTACTACGAGCAAGCCTTCGTTGTTGGTTTTGTTGCAATGTCAACCAATCAGAACACAACTTACTCTTCATTGGTTTCCTAAGTCAGCCAATGGTGTGATTGAGGGAGTGATTCCCTTTACCCACACGCTTCTCCCACGTGCACGGAATCAAAGAGAAAATGATTAAGGAGACAGGCACCGGCTCATGATAATTGGACGTAGTCATGTTGCTTCTCATTCTTCTTCCTACTATCACCGTATTTGCTCACTTTCCGCCTAACTGCAGCCTCGTCGTACAGGAAAACTTGGCTAGGGGACACCTCATTGCTCTGCCCTACACCAGTAACATTTTTGACAGTATCGATCAGTTCACACTTCAGATAACTAACTCGAACCCATATTTTGGAGTCTTGTCAGGGTCCACTGGGATACGGGTGCCTACGTTAACACAGCACCGTCAAAATCCCTGGCGAGTCTGGTACCCTAAGGATCCGTCTCCACTGTCCACTCAGTGGTGTTTGGTAACTCTCCAACGGATAGACAGGGAGCGCCTTTGCCAGACAGAGCCGGGTTGCGACTGTCAATTAGGCGACAGTCATCCTAATCGCCTGGGAGGTGGTCCCGATTGTGCTATCCCTCTTCGTTTGGTAGCTATTCCCACCAAAAAGGAGAGACTTCCGTCCGTGATTGACTTGACCATTTGTATAGCCGATGAGAATGACAACCCTCCGACTTTTCAAACATCCTCCTCGTCCCATTTCGGAGCCTCGTCGACTATGAGTGTTCATTTTAAAGAAGACGCACAAATAGGTGAACTGGTCACCCTACCAGCAGGTTCAGATGCCGATGCCTACCCAGAACACACTGTAAGCTCATACGACCTAAATTGTCCAGGCTCCGATGCCCTTTTCAGTCTTGTCTACGACACACACACACCAGACCGTCTAGATCTACGCGTGGACAAAATTCTCAAATTCGATAGTCAATGGCCCCTTCTTTGTACTGTAACAGCATTTGATGGACAGCACAGTGGCAGCATGCAGCTCAAGATTCATCTTGATGACGTGAATAACCACAAACCCGTTTGGAAAAAACCCAACATCCTCAATTCCGCTATCACGATAGTAAACGAAACTTCGGACGAGTGGGTTATTGACATGCCAGAATCAGTTCTTCCATTCACCGTTCTGCTTCAACTTAAGGCTAGTGATGATGACCCGGTGTACGGAAAATTAACTTTCTCAGCGGAAGGCGAGAAAAAAGGCCCCCTTTTGTTTGATGTAGACTCGAGAACTGGGGAAGTTCGCTTAGTCAGCAAACAGGATTATAAGACGGTCATCAACAAGGAACTAAACCTACGCGTTGCGGTTACAGACAACGGAGGACTGTCTACGTTGGGAAGACTTAGGTTTCAACTTAGAGATGTCAACGATAACCGACCAGTGATTCGTTTTTCTGGTGGAGATAAGCAAGCGGAGGTTGTCGAGAACAGCCAGTCGGATGTCTACATTGACTATGTGACAGTGAGCGATACAGATTCAGGTGCATTTGGACAGGTTGAGTGTCGACTGAAGCCTGGCACACTTTCCGACCACTTTCAGCTGACTAAGATCGGTGAAGACCTCTGGGCCTTTCAAGCTGTCAAACCGATCGATCGGGAGTTGTTGGCTGCCCCGACGGCTACACGAAGCAGTAGGTTTTACGCTCGTGGCACACGTGTGGGAATTACTGTAGTCTGCAATGACAATCCAGGTGCTCTAAAGGATTACCAACTTTCCACAGAAGCAACAATCCAGGTGACCATTTTAGACCAAAATGACAACCCACCGAAGTTTGTCGGGATTGGAGGTGACGATCCCTCTGTTATTGAAGTCGCCATACTGGAGGGGCTTCCGCCGGGAACTCCTGTAATTCGTATTACTGCTGATGATCCCGATATTGGCGACACACTTACCTACGCTCTCCTTCCTACAGCCAATAAAAAGTTTTCAATTGATCCAGTATCAGGTTTAATCATAACACAGTGCGTTTTCGACCGTGAGGAAGAAGCCATTTTGACGGGATTTAAGGTTGTTGTGTTCGATGGCGGTCATGCCAACCACACAATCTCCGCCGACCTAAGGGTTACCATATTGGATCAGAATGACAACAATCCTGTTTTCCATTCACAGACTGTCATCATTGCGCCGGAAGACAAACCGGTCGATAGTCTTTTGCACACGATCAATGCGACGGATGCAGACGCTGGGGAAAACGGGACGGTGGTACTCTTTTTTGCTCAGCACCAGCAGATCCCTGAACCGTTTACTCTCTATCCAGATGGTCGACTTTTTCTTACTCGCCCTTTAGACAGAGAGCGACAGGAACATTATGAGTTAATTATAATTGCTGCTGATAAAGGCACCCCATCTCTCAGTTCCACGATGACCCTCGTTGTACAAGTAGAAGACATTAATGACTCCCCTCCCCGATTCGAACTGGCTGTGAGGAGTTTTCTGAAGACTGTTCCATGTACACAAACTTATGCTGCATTGGAATTGGCAGCTACAGACGCCGACAGCCTACCTGAAAACACAGTAATCAACTACCGAATTTTGGATGTAAAGGGACCATTTGGGGACACGAGTGGACGACGACTGGACTTAAATAGGGAGAATTCATTGTTTTATATTCAACCGGATAGTGGTGCTTTGTTTCTTCACGGGCAGCATGGCAAGAATCTACCTGAGTTTGATCCCTGTGATTACATCGGTGTGTATCGACTAAATATAATGGCCTTTGATCCGAGCAAGCCGCTGTTGAACAGCAATACAACAGTCACATTGCACATAACGCGACCCCCAACTATGGAGGAGGCGCCTCCAGTTAAATCGCTCCTCTCCGAGTCTGGAAATACCTTAATTAATAGTGCAAACTACTCCCAACATGCCTTGGAACCTCCCTCAAATCGATACGCCCACCTGGACGACAGGGAGAGCTTTGGTACCGGCGAGGACGGGCAGTCTCGCTCGAGTCGCATGACGTTTCTGGGAATACTATTACTCATTACTGTATTCATTGGACTCACATTACTCTTGATACTTATCATCTACTTCATTAAGAAGAGAATATCTGCCGATGAAAGTCTAAGCGTTGATCCTCAAGCGCTTTCTTCGACCCAGTACCTCCCTGGCATGACCTTGAAAAAGGATGAATTTTTGTCAGATGCATACTCCCCTACACCTGTTTACGGTACCGCCAGAAACGCTCGATGCACGGAGCCCATTGAATGTACGTACTGTTTTTTTCATATTCACGTTACTTTTCGCCATTCTAAAACATGTTACTTTGCCTAGTTCTCGTCTCTAGGATACCTTATAGTCCATTCCAGTTCAAGCCGCGCAGCCACGTTATCGGTAACATGAACCCTATCAGTGATAAAGTGAAACTATATTAGGCTTAGGCCGGAATAATTGAAAGTTGACTTATTCAAATCATCGCTCTCCACTCTGACCATCACCCTCGACTACCTTTTGTTCTTCTCCAAATGCTACTTCATTTGCCTCTCAGGAGCATATTTGTGGATCACCTAAATTTACAATTTTTTCATTAGTTATGCTTAATTAGCGTGATAAAATGAAGGTGGTGACTAGCGCTACCCACCAGAATGCGGGAATATTGCGTTTTGATTCAAACTGCAATGCGAAAGCCTGGAAATGTTTTCAAATATTTAGGCCCTCTATGTATTATTTACTATATTTTATTCCACATCGATTTTAGTTCATGATTCTGAAGTTATAAGAAAGTAATTTTATATCTGCATTATTCATGTGTCAAGCTAGATTGCGTCCTTATTTTGGCATGGTCTCATCAAAGCATTTCTGCACAGCGGCTGGGAAGCAGTTTACCTGAACAGTACTGACAGAAATAACAAGTAATTTGAAACCCTTGTGTGTAACATTTTCATCGTGTGATGAAATATCCGCAACAATGCGCTTTGATACTGACCGCGAAGGTTGTCTATATTTGGTTCAGCTGAGGTTGAATGGCAAAAAAGGGCGGGCAACCGACCGAACAGGTTGCCGTTGGGTTTTTTCTCAAACACCTAATTTTACTTGATAAATTGCGTTCAAGTCACGTAGATGAACATGCCTGTGCAGGCTGCTTTCTAGTACATTAGCTGATGTTTTTAAAGAGGTTCAACTTTAGTTTGCTCTTGCTGGGTCTCCTCATGTAAAAATGTTATTTTTTCCAATTTTAAATTCCGGTTTTGATCGATGAGTAGCTTATATATAAATTGATTGAAGGGTAGGTTTTTTGACTGGTCATTCTGTATTTCTGCTTTTGAAAACGACGTCATCTGCGACAAAAAAGCTGAAAGATATATTTCGGGGCGAATCAAAATGCCCTTGTTTTGTATTCATGTTAGAAGCTGTAATCATACGGACATTATGGCTCTTTGATTAATCCAATATTTGGGTCTAAGTACCTTCAAGTAGAATAATTTTACGGTTGGAACACATAAAATCCTAATGCGGCACGGAAGTAATCTTTCAGTTGAATCAACTCATGCTTTGATAGCAATCACTCGCATTTTGCAAGCCAAAATTCCACGTCCTTTAGCTTAGTAGTTTGATGCGATCATATTTTGTCCAGTTGCCTTTCGGAATGGCAGCGGGTAATCTACAGCGTCGTAAATGGGGCCTAGCCAATTTATATTTTCTGATTTCAACTTAATGAGCTTTAGTTGTAGTTTTGGGGAAAGACAACAATTCAAACGTCTACATTTTTTAGTCCAGTACACAGGTCTTATTAACATTGAGGTTTACCATTGAAGTCAGGCCAGTAAATCCCCGTTCATTTATCAAAGAGGCTGACACGCACGTGATTTCTTAGGCTAGATAAATCGTCCCCAACGATGCGGCGTCTGAAGTATGATTAAGTGCGTCGTTTCCGCAAAAATAATGGTCGCGCTTTCTAACAGCATTAACAAGGTTGTCTTTCTTTGCCTCCATCACCATTGCAGCCGATGGTTTGTAGAACAGAGGCAGGTTTTGCTTTAAAAAAAGAGGCTAAATTAACCGAAATTCCACGTTAGAGGAAGAACAAAAGCTTTTGAACGAAACGACTAACTTGCCTACCTGCTTGTGCACTGACCGAAAGTATTTCCTTGAATTGAACGATTGCGTAGATATGTTTTCAGTTGAGGTGCAACGCCATTGATGGTCAAGCTAGCATGACTGAGCATCAATAGACTAATCTTTTTTTTTGAAATTTCGATTGCCCACAAGCCATCGTTAACAAAAATGCCTCCTAGAAAAAAAACCATTTGCAACAATGCAGTTGAGACTGCAAAATGAGATTTTGTGTGTATATGTGGAAGCAATGCTACCTTAATGACTCCACCGACACTAAATTCACTGACAAACGTTGATGTTTACCTAGGTATTCAAGACACTAAGTTAATTTATTCAAATTTTGTGGCGTTTAAGTGCCTCGGTGTGGAAGATCATATCTCGCAGGGGACTAATGGATGCCGCCAGTCACAAAAAAATGTTCTCTTACCTTTATAGGCTTCAACAATGTAAGCCACTTCCTTCGGGCGTTGTTTTAAATGTGGGAGCGGTGAAAAATTGTCCAATATCGACATCATATAATCGGTAACTGGACATTGCAATAACAAGATTCTGTAACTGGAGGAAGAGTACTTTAATTATAGGCTTCAGCAGGAGGTCAGAGACTAGTAGAAAAAAGACGAAGCAATTGAAGATGAGAAGCAGGACATGGAGGCGGTGAGAGAGAGAGAGAAATCTTGTACAAGACAGCAATCCAGTGATTCACTAATCGTTTTTGTAGGTAGCAAAACTCAAACGTGTTTGTGGACCACAATTAAGCTTTTATTTAGAATTTTTAATGTCGCCATTGTAAATACAATAGATCTAGTTATAATTAAGGATGCTGATTGATCTAAAGGGCAGCAAGCGGCCAATTAAGGGCTACGATGCTTGCCCTGACGTATTACAAGTGGGAACATTAAAGAAATTGGGGTTACACAGCTGGTAGGCTGGTTTTGACGAATTAAGTACTTAAGATTAGTTTTATCATAGCTAAAACGTTTCACACAATTTTGCAGAAAAATAAGAACCAATATAAGTATGCTGGATATCTTAAGAAACCTTTATACCCCGCCTCTACGATGGTTCCATTCATGTAAAAGTCTAGTCATGAGAAGAATGTTAATTTTTGAGGTGATTTTGATGTCGGACCTCGGAAGGGAAGCTCCAAATCTCAAATATTTACCTAAGAAAGAAGATGCTTGTGGATCCGCGTCTTTGAATGTCAACGGTCCCGGTTAACACCTGAAGTTCGAAAGACGTAGGTTTTATCAGCACGAAAGTAATTGTTTTTAATCTCATAGCAGTCTTAGTAACCGACCCAACGTTGAACTAAGGACAGTAATATTATGTTCATTTTTTTGCAACCCAATTTCGCATGACATTACACTGATTGAGTTCATGTGATTGATGTCCACAAATGAAAACATTAAATTGTTGCTAGTCATAATCAGTTTTAATGGATGCCAGGTTCTATCAATACAGTTTCTAACTATTGTCATTTATTTCCAGCACAGTGTGCTCCTTACAATAATATTTAAAACATAATATTAGCTCTATCTTCGCTATATCTCAAAAAATTGCCTAGGTTTTGATTCTATGGGATAAAATCATCTGACCTCATCATTAGTCAAGTGGCCAGTTATATCAAAGTGAAACCTCTTAATATCTCGTCGATTTTATATTGTCAGGTGTTATAGGAAAATAACAACTGGTAAAGTTAAGTAGAGTCTACTACTTAAATCACGCAATACAAATTTAGAAGTATTTGCATAAACGAATGGAATTGTAGAACACGCATTGGGTGCCCACAATTTTTTTTTATGTCTGTGGAATTCCGCCTCACTGCAAGAAAAACCTCCGACGGTCACCTCGCAGGCCATTAGCTTCAGTTCATTTGAAAGCGCAAAAAAAGATAATGCCCAAAATCATTGCAGCAGTACGATTAGGGTAACGCAGCGACATATCTTTTTGTTCAACAGACGTCGGCGTACACCCAGCACTGCCGAGGCAAACCGCGCCTGTCTTCTTTCAAGCTGATAAATGGACCGTATCGGGCGTAAACGATAGCACAGCTGGCGCGTCGATAGTGGGCAGAGCTAGCCGCTAACAAAAAACGTTGGTGGTTTTGAAAAATACCCCGCATACCTTGGTGTTAAAGGCTTTTGAGGAAACGCTGACTACAAAACTCCTGCAACTATTTACCCGTAACGCCATTATGGCTTTTTTTTAAATATTTAGTCTGCTGAGGTGGCTGCATCAGAGATGGCAGACGCGACAAATTTGTTCCACGCCAGACGTGTGGACTAAGAGGTGCCATGGCAACATTTGGCCGATTTTGGCAGATATTTCGAGTACCTTGACTGGCATGCAGGAACCTTAAATATGACTGTAATCCACGTCTCACTGCACAAAAGACTGAGGCTGCCAAAGAAGTGGTAGAGGTCACTGCTGAATTAAAAAATGGCTGCATGCAAGCTTACAAAATCAGCTCTATTCCAACGCCATTAGTGAAATTAGGAGTTAGCCTCCAAGCTACCGTCCACAATTTCTCCTGATCAGGTCCCTAAAAGGTGTGAAACCCGGGTAATTCGTAAAATTCAACTGGTAGACAGTTGGCAAGGATTCCTCCAATGCTCCTTGCAGGAGCACATTCTCTCTTCAACTATTTAAATGAACTGGTTCTTTTCGTTTTTAAGGACGATGTGCCAAATGCCTTGTGTGATTCAAAAAATAGATGAAGATTGCAAAAAATGCAGATAATCTTAGCTCATGACATCGTGTGAACTTTTGGCTAGCTTAAAACACCGAATATCAGTTGGTGAAAGGGCAAGGGCCTAGTCCTTGGCAGAACCCGCACTAAACGACGTCTCCGTCGGAGGCGTAATCCTATTTGAGGACATAACAGGAAGTGAGCCGACTGTGGGAATAATTACTGCGAAGGCGAACACCAACTTCCGGAGAAGGCATCATTCTGGCGTTAAGGAGGGACGGGGCTAGCGGCGGTGCGTGCGTGCCCCTTTTCGTGTGTCAAAGAGGAATTCAGGCAATGGAAAAGTTTGGCTGACCCATTGCATCGGTGATCCGTGGGATGTGATTGTGCTGGGGCCATTTAAGTGGTTGACAATATTTCCTGACTATTGAAATTTAAAAAAAAATGATCTGGTTACTTTGGCTCTAATAACTAAACTGAACTAAAGTCCAAATGACAGACGAGTAAAGTTGTTTCGATTTTAACATTTTTTTTGCAAAAAAAACGATTTGACAGGTGTCAGCGTGATAATGAGTATTTTTAGTGCATCATTTTAAAAGGAGATTATTACATTGTCACAATTTAATAAAT